TGATCAGACCCAGTGCTCTCTCAGCTACACCGTTGTATTCTGGACTGTGTGGGGGGGTGCACTCCTGTTTGATGCAGTACTTCCGGCACACCTTGCCGAACTCTCCTTCAAAAAACTCTCCTTCGTTGTCAGATCTTACGACCATGACATCGGACGGGGCACCGTCTGCCCGGTTTTCGGCAAGGTACCTCTCGAATGCCTCAGCGGCGTCTGATTTATGCTTCAGGAAATAGACACGGTTCCACCTTGTGTAATCATCCTTGACAATGAGAGTGTACCACTTTCCCCCCAAGCTCTGCACCCTAGCTTTTCCACTCAAATCCACGAAAACTCGCTGCAGTTTCTTAACTGCTCGGGTCGACGTTTTGTTGGGGATGGGCTTGGAAAGCCCCTTCGCCGTCGAGCACCCCAGGCACTCCCGGAGCTCGCCCACCAGCGTCGTCCCTTGCTGCTTCGCCGTGGTCCTCAGCAGCACCTCGTGGGAGTGGCCGTGCGCGCAGTGGAAATCGTTGATGTCAACGGGGGTGCTGGGCGCTTTCGCGTTGCCAGGAGCAATTGCGGCACAGGCATGTTCGGTGTGTGTGCGGAAACCGTTTTGGACGTACAGGTTACCGCATCCGGGGAAGTACACCACCTCGCCCCCCCTTCTCTCCTACTCCAACTCGTGTTTGTCGAGATTTTTGGTTTCGAACCCGTCGTCGACGAGGGAAGTGAGAGATACTAGGGTGTAGTCTAGTCGGGGGACGTGTGCAACCCGTGTCAACAACAGGTCGGTTGTACCGTCGCGCGAGCTAAGAGTGACCGTCACGTCGCCATACCCTACGATAGGGAAGGTTTCCCCGGCGGTGACGCGCACACGTCGATCACACTCTTGGTAACGAACGAACCCATTTGAGTTCGCGAACATGTAGGTGGTAGCGCCGGTATCGGCGACATACCTACCCCGCCTAGCCTGCTCTACACCCCCTCGACCAACGACTTTGTGACACTCGCCTGAGATGTCACCGACCACCAGCGCTTCTTCTGCCACGTCCAGTGCTGTGGCGTCCGCAGACGCCCTCCCCGCCGGCACTTCCACCACGAGCACCGCCTCTTCGGTCGGGCACTTGCTCTTGTCGTGGCCGTAGCCCTTGCATGTCTCACATCGCACGGGCTTGCTCTCGGGGCAGTTGGCCACCTGGCGGCCCTTCTTGCCGCACCGGAAACAGCGACCGCGCATACTACCCGCGTCGTCGTCGCCGTCTCCGCCGCCGCCACCAGCCTTCGCGCCACCCCCTCTCCCCTTCTGGTTGCCGCCGCCGCCGCCGCCACCCTTGCGGCGGCCGCTGTTGCCGCGGCCCGGCGCTCCTCCCCCGCCGCCACCGTCACTCGCGAGGAGAGCATGCTCCGCCCTACGCTGGCCCTTCGAGGCCTTCCTTCCCTCCGGGAGGCTCGCGTGCACCGTGCTCACGATCCTGACGATCTCGGCCCTATCCAGCGCCGTTGCTGTCTCCAACAGGAACTTCGCTTGTTGGTACTCGGGTGGGAGGGAACCAACGAAGTGGGCGAGAACGAAGGGTTGTTCAGCATTGAGCCCCTTTTCGCGCAGGCGGGCATACAGCAGCTCGAGAGAGTAGAGGTGCTCGATGGGGTTGCTGTTGCTGTGTGTGGGGATTGCAAAGTCGAACATCTTCCGCATCAAGGCCTGTTTTGACCCCTGTGACTCCGGATCGTAGACCTTTTCCAATTCCGCAAGGACCTCTTTCGCTGACGTACAGTTGCTGATAATTGCTTTGTCAGCTTCTTTTACCACAGCAGTAGTGATAAAGTGGAACGCCTGAAGCCCCCGTTGGACTTCTGCTCTCGTGTACCCCCTACGGAGCAGTTCGGAAGTCGGCAAGTTTGGGTCGCCCACGGGGATACTGCTCTCTGCATCTCCTATAAACAGCCCGTCCAAGTCGATGGTCTTCGCAGCTTGGATGAATGATTTTCGCCACGAGTCAAATCCGTGGCTACGGCTTTTTTCGTCTAGGAGCGGAGCATTGACCGTTACCCTCTTCATGTGGCTACTGCTGTAGCCGTCGAGGAATTCTCCATTTCCTCGATCACGGTATTTGTATCTCACCTGGGGGGTTTAACCCCCTCGCTTCCCCGTAGTCCGGTCCTATGCCCGGGCCCACTCCGGCTGGTCCAACAGGGTTTGCTCCCGATCTGCTGGCCCAGCCGCCTTCCAGCAGCGACCGTGGTCCTTGCCCACTATCTCTCGTTTGCTGCTGG